TTCTGCTCCTGGTATACTGAAAAGGGGTGACCCTCTGGGCAGTCCTTATGGGCATTACCGCTCCTGATGCACTACAAAACGATATGAAATTAAATACAGAAAGTTCACAGCAACAATCCAGAGGTCCGAGGAGAAATCCTGGAGTGGGAATTAGGGCACGTCCAAAAAGCAGCGCTGTTATTGCCACGGCGATTGTTTGAAAACATTTCTTTTGAGTGTATTTCTTTTTTTTCCAGTCTGATTCTAGTATTCCAGAAATGTGGAAACCCCCCCGTTCCTACCGGATTTGGTGACATCTTTTCTATCTACCCGCAATGCTTTACTAAATCCCTCTCTGGGCAGCCGCGGCACCATCCCCGCTGTGTCCTCAGTACGTGCAGCCCGACAAAGCCTGCCTGGATCCGGCTGAGCGCTGGGGTGCAGCACCCCGCTGCCATGGTGCCGACCTGCATCCATGGGGCACATCCCCTGCACACAGATCCCGAATGGGAAGCGCTGACCTGCCCTCCAGGCTCGCTGCTCTTACCTCGAAGCCCTGTGTGCTGGTGAATAAATCACTGCTTTTCTTTCTTTAAGGATAAATACTCGTCCTGGGAAGGGGGAAAGCTAAAAGCAGAACATCCCATCCCGTCCCCTGTGATGCTCCGAGGCCAGTAAGACACAGCTTTGTTGCTCGGCTTTGCCTCCCGAGTTGGAAAGGTCGTGGCTTAATCCTACCCCTGGATTAAAGGGTAGGACACAAATAGCTGACCCACCCCGGCCCCACCTGCCCCTCCAAAGTCCTGTCTGAGCTTATGGGAAACGAACGCCAATGGTTCTTGTTCCCCTCCTCTCAGGGAGCCTTTCCCTGCCCCTTTCCCATAACCAGACTCTTCCTGCTGCAGATAAACCCCCCTTCCCCATGCCGTGTTATTCTCCCACTGAATGGGGCTGGGGTTGTGGGGCCAGTGTGGGGTGTGCGGACCCTGCGTGAGGCTGCAGGGGCTGAGCCTGACAGTCTTTGAGTTGCAGGGAGCAGGAGTGCCTAACTGTGCTGATAAGAGTTTAATTATCGATGCAAAAAGCGTTGTTGCACGGGGGGAGCCTTGCTGTGAATCTTGGGAGGCCTTTGAAGTTGTGATGGAGAGGAACTGAAGCCCAAGGGAACAGGGCTGCTCCCACTGACCCTTCCTCCCCATGCCTGAGCTACAAAGCCCCTGCCTGGGAGGGAGACAACAGAGTAATTAGAGTGAGGACCGCAGTGGGTTAACAATTAGTGAGGGTGCTCAGAGCCCTCTTTGGTCCCCCACTGCTCTATGGAGGATGGGGCTCAGCGCATCCCCCCCCCCCCCCCTGTCACCCTGGGCTTGTCCCACCACCCCACCGTGCACCCCCAGACAGGCTGAGGGTCCATAGGCTCCACTGGGCTGGGCAGCTCTTGATCCCACAGGTCTGTTCCTGAGCTCAGGATGCTTGGATGAGGGACCCTGAGGTTCCTGTTTGTAGGGATGTCATACATCCCCGCAGGAGCTGTGGCCACTGGAGCAAGTGTTGGGAGAGGTTTCTGACTGTTCCATTTCATAGGTAGGTGGCAAGAGACACATGGACCCAGACAAAACACGTATCTTCTGCATGCTAGTCCCTGCCTTGGCTTCCTCACTTATCCCAAGCAGTGTCTGAATTTGGTAGATATGGGTACGGATAGGGGTAAGGATATGGAGATTATAGATATAGATAGATATAGCTATAGCTATATGTGTATATCTATATATCTGTATCATCTATCTCTATCTCGATATTAGATATCTATAGATATCTAATTAGATATCTAATATCTATATCTATAGCTATATATCTATATCTATAGCTATAGATATAGATATCTAATACCGAGATATAGATGATACAGATATATAGATACACATATAGATGATATAGATAGATTTAGAGATAGATGTAGCTATAGAAGTAGAGACAGGTTAGATGATATATAGACAGAGATATATAGATATATATAAAAACATGTAGCTATAAATAAATTATACATATACCTCATATACATATGCATACACCTGGTCTTCAACTCCTGTGTAATCTGCATCTATGATGGCTCATAGGTGTAATGCAACATCTCAGTGTAATGCAACATTACACGATGCAGCTTTATAAAGGAGCAAGTAGGTCTGCCTTGCATGGCACACCATCTCAAGACCCCAGTTGGTGCTCTCTCCTAGGTGCTTCCATTTGAACAGGCAATTGGGTTTGACAGCTCCTGAACCAGTGCGAGCATTTCCCCTGACACCTCCTGGTGTTTTGGCTCAATACAAGTCAAGGCCAAGGCACAGAATAGGGGAGGTACAAAATGGTGCTCAGGAACACAAAATGGAGCTCGCAGTTTGAGCCTGATCCATGCAGACAGTCCATGACATCAAACAGAATCGCCCAGCTGTAGGATACAGGTCTCCCAAACCACGTTTTCTGAGACACGTTCCAGCTGAAAGGGGTCTTTTTGTGGCAGCCTCCTTGTCCTCCAGCTCCTTCTGAGCATCACCTCCTGAGATGGGACATCACCTGCGAGGGGCTGGACAGGGCCCTTGTTGTATGTGATGTGGTGTGTTCCCTTCGGTAGCCTTTCCCTGCAATGGATGGTTGGGTTTTGGAACAGTGTCGGTCTCCCCGTACCCAAACACAGTGTGCAATAGTGCTGCTGGTTGGATGCTCAGGTCCACAGAAGCGTGTGCTACACCACGAGTTAACACACACGCTCTTGGGCAGGCAATGCTTTTGTATTTGTGCAATGCCCACTGCAGTGGTCTTAATGGCTGAAACACTGAGGAATAAAAGAAACAACTTCACCCTCTTCCTGCAACAAGGCACGAGCAATCTGCTCCTCAAGGCTTCCTGCAGGAGGTGCAAGCTTGTGCACCAAAGCATCTGCAAGGAGCCGGCTCCATCATCTCTATGAGGCTGGGTAGCAACCATGTGGTCCGTGTGGTGGGATGGGGTGTTCCAAGCTGGCTCCAGGTCCCACACAGGGCAGTGCAGACAAGCCTAGGGTACGTCCCACCATGGATCCCAGCTCCTTGTGCTGCCTGGAGAGCAGCTGCATCCATTGCAGAGCATCTTGGCGTGGGAAAGAGGGTGCAGGGACCACAGCAGGGGGGGAGAGGGGGTCTGCAAAAGCGGTCTGCTCCCTGCAGCCTGCCTGCTGAGGGTCACTGGGACCGTGCTCCTGCTCTGTGAGCAGGGAACTCCTGAGCCCGAGCTCCCGCTGGGTGAATTACCCAGGGAAAATAGGCAGAAAATCTTCAGATTAACAATAACAAATAAAAATGGATTTGAGATCTCCGAGGTAATTACTCCGTGCTGAGGGCAAGGGGCCTCTTTAGCAGTGGGAGCAGCGCCATGCAGGGAGTGGAGGGGCTCGTCCTGCTGTCGGGCCAATGGAGTCACACAAGAAACCCTGGAAATTCTTTCAAATTGTTCTGCTAACATTAATAAATGCCTCAAAAGCTCCTAATCTGCTCTGTCAGGAGCATGACGTCCGGGTGTTTCACAGCCAGCTCACGTCTCTGCTCCTCTCTCCCTCTACCTCTCCTTCCCTGCCTGGTAATAGTAAATGAAAGTGGCACCCGTTCCTCTGGATTCTGGGACCAGCATCACGCTGAGCCCAGCCTCTGCAAGGGCTGGAGCCACTGTCCCGCTGTGCCCCATCCCCAGCATGGCAAGCCACTGCCTTGCTCCAAGACCACCGGAGCCCGGAGACCAGCCAAGACCTGATGCAGCGGCGGGGATGCAGGCAAGCTGCATCAAGGTCTAGTGTGATGCTGCTGGAGGGTGAGGAAGGGCAGTGAGCATGGAGGCAGCATCCAAAGCGGGCTTGAACTTACTGGGTGGCTGCAGGGCTTTTGCTGGGGAAGGCTGAAGGCACTGGAGGTCTTGGAGGAAGCCTGGCTCTGATGAGGGGTGACAAGACAGGGGCATGCTGGTGTTGGTGCCTGCTGCGCTCACTCCCAAGGGTCCGGGCACCTTGCTGCCACCCTCTCCCAAGCCTCCATCCCTCTGGATCCGCACCTTGGGCTTGGGCTCCTTCCCCTGGTGCTGAGCAAGTTGGGGGTTATCAGGCAGTGGCAAGGCTCTGCTCTGCCTTGTGCTGTAGGATTTGGGTTTGGGGCTCATGGGCAGCAGATGACACTCAGCAGCAGGTCCCCCTGTGCATGCAGCAGTGCTGGGGCATCCTGCTGCTGACACTGCTCGGCTTTGCACAGGAAGCTCCTGAGCACATTCAAAGGCGTCCTCACCTCTCCCCCTGCAGAAGCTGCTCCCCTTCCCTTGCAGATTTGCCTGTGCCTCCTCGTTAAGCTGGGCTCCTGGTGGTGGCAGGGCTTGTGAAGGATTGGCTTTGATGGAGCCTGTCCCCCGCTGCCTGGCCTCTCCACTGGGGTATCAGCCAGGACCATGGGGAGTCACTTTGTGCTGGAGCCGGGCACTGAGGTGCATAATTACAGTGGCTGCTGGAGTGCAGACTTCAAACCAGTGATGCTGGGAGGGATGGGAATGTAAAAGACTTGACTGAGCCTCTGGAGAAGTGTCCAAGGGAGGAATGATGCTCTGGTTGCATCAGTGTTGGCCCAGGGTGGGACTGGTGGACAACCTAATGCTTGCAGTTTGTGTTCCCAGCTTCCCTATCCCCTCTGCCCTATCCCCTCCAATCTGTTGTTTGCACTCCCCTCTCCTCCAACAGAACACATTGCTCTCAGTCCTATGGCCAGGTCTGATACAGCCTCACCTCAATTATACCCCAAACCAACAGCTTTGGGGAGCACCATTTATTGCCATCTCCTCGCTCCACATCTCCCTCAGCTGCAGCCAAACAGGTCCCTGGCAGCAGCCCCATGGATTGACGGGCACAGGGAGGAATCAGGCGAGTGGGATGCAAGGAGGGGTTGCTTGTGGTGCCTCAGTTCCTCGCCCCTCAGGGATGGGGAGAAAGCTTTCTAATGCAGCATTTTGTTTTCCAGTGAACTTGCTAGACACATCAACAATCCCGGGGGACTGGGGCTGGATGACTTATCCCTCACATGGGGTAAGTATGAAGCGGCTGTTGGCGTGTGGGGAATGGGTCACCACAGGTCTCCCTGGTACCTAGGTCAGTGCTGATGGGGCAAAGAGGCCACATCCAATGGGAAAATGTCAGCCTGAAAGACCAGTGGGATGTGGCTGGTTTGGAAATGCCATTTAAGTGTCCATGTCCCCTGGTAGTGACTAGGTTGTCACCAAGTCCTGAGCAAAGAGAGAACTCAAGAGTGGGGTCACCCCATGGGCTCTCACACTGAGAATCATCTCATTCCTCACTGCACCAAGGGGAGCATCAGGATGAGCAGCCCAAAATGTCTGGGAAACACTCAGCAACCTGTAATCAGAGGAGTTTGCTGTGGGAAATGGGGAAGAGGGGCAGGGATGTGGATGGTTTCTTAAAGGGAATGGGGATGTAAATGCACAGCCCTGCAGCATGGCAAGGAGTGATGTAGGGGTGGTGACCCCCATCTGAACCTGCCATCTCTACTGGCTGGGTCCTTTCTGCATGCTCCCTTCACCTGCATTTCCATGCCTGCATTTCCACGTCCGCATTTCCCTGCCACAGCAGCTCTCTGGAAACGGTGAGTTTCAGATGGCAGCAGCGACCTGGCTGCAAGGATTTTGCTCATTCATTGAAGGGAACAGAAACAATCCCATAATAAACACCCAGAGGACCAACTGCGAGGCACAGTGGGGCTTGCCGCAATGCACAAAGAGGGCAAAATTGGGGTGCCTACCTGGCTTTCGCTGCTGTGCTGCTTTTTCATGCCCACTCTTTTTCATCCCCTCTCTGAACTAAACGGTCCTAATCTTTCCAATTCCACCTCCTACGGAAATCTTCCCAGGCCTCTAATCATTTTCATTGATCTGCTGCTCGAGACGTTCAGTCCCCATGCTGTTCGAGCAGGAGTGATCGGCACGGTGAATTCATACTAATGACGGCGATTGGGTTTATATCAGGCATTATTATATATGTAAATATATTAAATTACTAGCTCTAATTTTAGCAGTTAGCTCTTGCAGTGACTATCCTGGAAATGTAACAGATTCAGAGGTACAAGGTCAGTGGGGACCGCAGAACTAATATGATGTGATCTCCTGCAGAAATACAGGCCTTCGGAGCTGCCAATTCACTCGCACCTCAGAAAAGCCCGGCTTCTATCAAATAAAAACCTTTGGCTGCTAAACTGCCAGTGGTGGTAAATCCTTCAGGTCCTGTAGTGATGCTGTTAACAGTTCGCTGTTAAAAAACCCATCGCTATGTGGGTTTGCTTGGCTTTGGTTTCCTTCTTCTGCCATTGCTGGATGAGGGAGACACTGTCCTCTTCACAGGTTGTGCTCGGTCGTGTCCATCCCTATCCTGTCACACCGCTGCTGCCATCTCATCCCAAACCTGCTGCCAAATCCCGGTGTCCTGGAGTGGCCTGATGCACGTTCAGAGGTCGGCGTTGCTGACCCTGTTCCTCAGCTAAAGTCATGCTCGTTTTTGCTTCACCCACATCTCCATTCCGCTGCCCTGCCTGAGCCTGGGGCCATGACATGGGTGACAGTGGGGAGGTGGGTAGCTCTGCATGGGTCTTTAATGACACTAAACAACACAGAGCCCCAGTCCCCATTCTGAGGAGCTTGTGTCCTCTAGCTCAGTCTTTAGTGCCCTATAGCCTGCCCTATGGTTCTGCCCCACCTCTCTGGGGCTGCTGGGGATGCCAGAGGAAAGGCGGCAGCCTCAGAGCTTTCCTCTTCTGGGCTGTTTGCTGCCTGTGCAGCAAGCCAACAGTTCAAACCAGCAGCAGCACAAAGCTGGAAGAGAGGCACTTGCAAAGTCCTGATGCTTTCATCTCATCGATGGGAAAAGTGAACTTGCCCCTCTCTGGGTTTGCTGTGGCCACCAAGAGCAGAGGAGCAAAGGGCAGGGAGCAGCGGGCTCAGTGGGGGTCAGCAGCACCATGGACCCTAGGGAGTGTCAAGCCATCAGGGAGGCATGTGTGGTCTGTTTTGACATTTCCTCTTGCCAGACGATTAACTGAGGGGTAATTGGCTGTAATTGCTGCTCAGGGGTTTAATTGCATCCCCCCCTCACCTCCACCACGGAGACGCGTGCAGGAAGTGGAAGGGTCACCAGCAGCATCCCTGTCCCGCAGGCTGCGGCTCCTCTCAATTATAACTTCAAAGGGCTCCCGGGAGCTTTGCAGCTCGCTCCATCCCCAGAACAATTCCCTTTGCGCTGAAAATTAAACTCTTATCAGTGCTGTCAAAGAGGCTGCCCCTTCCCCTTCTGTGCCGCCGGTTTCCCAGCTCTCCCCAGTAAAACACCCCAGTGCCCTTCTCTCCCCTCTCCTTGCTTGGCACGTGACCCGCTGGATCAGAGGGAGCCTGATCGGCCCCTTTGCAAATTGCTTTTCTACTGACTAATTAAAACGCTGATGAGATAAGTCAACATATTATTAATAATTATTGTATCGTCTACTTTGATTTACAAAGTCAAACAGGAAATGATTTTGTTCAGACTCAGGGTATCTAAAGAGCTTGGTTGATGCCTTGCAAGAGCTAATTACAATAGGAGCACCTTGAGTTCTGGAGGAAGGCTCCCCATGCTGCCCGTGACCTCTCCATCTGCCCCCCCCACCAGCACCTCTGTGGCCTGGCCCCATAGCATCCCTCTCACTGCATGGGCTGGGGTCAGCCCAGAGAGCTGCTGGGCATCTGCCCCCCAGGGAGCTGCCCCAGTGCCTGGCACGCTCCATGTTGGCTATGTTGGTGGGAACACCAGGAAAGACCTTCAGAGGTGGTTTGTGCATCCCCACCTCTGCCCTTCTGCTTCTGGTAAAGGGGTTTCTCTTCCCATCCAGAGCCTCTGCCTGGATCCAGGAGCACCAGCAGGTTACAGGGTAAGCAGTGATGAAACTCCTCTTCTCTGAAAGAAAGAGAGGGGTAGGAATGGAACGTTGGAAAAATAAAGATTTAGATTAGTAATTGAGTTAAAGGCTCATCTCCCAGAGCTCATTCTGTACATGCTGGGTTATTGCTAATTCCCCAGACACTGGTCACTACCAGGAGTTAATCACCTGCAGTGAAGCTCAGGGTAGTTAACTGCCTGACAAATCCCTCCTTAGCCACAGCAGTGACTGATTTCATGAGGATTATCTCCATTAAGGCCTCCCACTACTGATTTATAGGTGCAATAACATCCTTCTCTTTTTCTCTCCCAGTGACAGAGCGAGGGACCAGGCAGCTCCCAGGGAGGTGCTGCAGCTCAGTGCTTGCTCACGGGAGGAAGGACGGTGCTGGATGTCTCAGGGGCAGCAGCTTTGCTGTGCCAGGCATCCCTCAAGGAAGCCATCCCAGGGTGGGGAAGACCCCGTCCCTTGGTTCCCTCTGTGGTCACCAAAGGGTGGTGGGATGCTGAGCAGCTGCTGGATGTGTTCTCTCCTTGTGTGTTCACCTCTTCCACTCCTCCTCTTCCCCATTCTGCTGCACCACACCAGCCCTGGGAGACTTGTAAGACCTTGCTCAGCTGCCCAGATATCTGGTGTTTGCATCTTTCGCCTTCCATATATCTGGCAAATATTACATAGCTGGTGTTGACTTTAATTTAAGCCATTAGGCAAACCCCTGCATACAGATGCAATCATGTCCCGTGTACCCCCCCAGCCCGTGCGCTCACCACAGTAATTATGATGTCCTCATTTCCGTCTCGCTGGGGGATCTTATTGCACTGACGGGGGCCAGGCTGAGCTTCCTCTAACAAAAACCACTTCAAACTGTGGGCCGAGAGCAGGCGATGCGGGAGGCTGGGGGTGTGCACAGAGCCTGTGCTCCTGGACCGATGGCACCCAGCATCAGAGACTCCTCTCCCCACCTATAAGAGCCTGTCATTAGGGTGAAACAAGGGATGCCTGAAGTAGAACCCTCCATCCCCTCTAGGGATGTCACAGCTTGTGGGATCCGTGTTGCCTTATGGCACTCTGGGAAGATGCTCCTGTGGCATCTGAGCCACCAGTTTGGGTGGCCTGTCCCCCTCCACACGTTTCCACCGATGGCAGAGCACTTGCCCTGTAGGTCGGTGGTACAGGCAGGCCTTTTGGGATCCCAAGGTGCTGCATACAACCCTGGGAAAGAGCTGACGGTCCAGGCACTGTGCAAAAAAGCACTCGGTTTGAAAGAGTTATGCTACAGCACCTTCAGGATGAAGACAGGCTGAGAACATTGGGGCTGCTCAGCCTGGAGAAGAGAAGCTGCGTGGAGACCCCAGAGAAGCTTCAGTATCTGAAGGGGGGTACAAGGATGTCGGAGAGGGGCTCTTCATCAGGGAATGTAGCAATAGGAGAAGGGGTGATGGGTTCAAACTGAAACAGGGGAAGTTCAGGTTGGAGATAAGGCAGAAGCTCTTCCCTGTGAGGGTGCTGAGGCGCTGGCACAGGGTGCCCAGAGAAGCTGTGGCTGCCCCATCCCTGGCAGTGTTCAAGGGCAGGTTGGACACAGGGGCTTGGAGCAAGCTGCTCCAGTGGAAGGGGTCCCTGCCCGTGGCAGGGGTTGGAACTGGATCATCTTAAGGTCCCTTCCAGCACAAACCAGTCTGGGATTCTATGAAAAGCAAATCCTCCAAGTTCTTCCCTGTGGCTGATGCCAACCATTGACAGTACTTGGAGACGGACATTTAGCTCCCTGCTCTCTGCCAGCCATGAGGATGCTGCCAGCTCTGGCAGTGCCACAGGGGTGTGCAGACACCAGAGGCAGGAAAACCATCTCCTCTGCCAGATTTGGGAGAGAAGTGAATGTCTGGAGACCCAAAGCATCCACTCTAGCTGGAGGCCAAGGCATTTTGGTGCATACAATAGCCTCATATTTTGTTGGACACACCTAGAGAGCTCTAGTCCCTACGTTTGTTGCAGAGGGAAGCTGTAAGTACATAGAATCATAGAAGAGTTTGGGTTGGAAGGGACCTTTGAAGGTCACCTGGTCCAGCTCCCCTCCCATGACAGGGCATGGCAAAGAGCATCCCTGCTGCCACCCTTCAGAGCATCCCTGTACCCCTCAGCCAAGCGGCAGGAGCGTATCCTGTGTGTCACAGCACCTTCTGTGGGCTCCTCTCCATGGCTGGGGAAGCTGAGCTTCTTGCTGGAAGCCTTGTGTTCACCACATGCTTCCCCTTCTCCTCATGGTAAGCACCTAAAACTCACTCTCCAGCTGGAATGCAGCCTCTTTAGTTTGTGCATGGAGGTTGCATGAGCCAGAAGAGATCCACGTGCCTTCCTACTGCTGCTGTGAATGACAGGTTGAGCACCAAGAGACCTGCAGGCATGGTCTGGAGGGTTTGGAGCTCTCCCAAGCACACACTGCCATCCGTTTGTGCCATCAGATCAGACTTGTGCGTTCAGGGGTGCACTGTGTACTTAGCTCTTCATCAGTGTGGGCTGGGAAAGTTCCTGCCCAGATTAGTGCTGGGTACAGCCTGCTCATCCTCACTGTCTTTTGGCCTGTGACAGTAGTGACCTCTTGTCCAGAGGCAGCTGCAGGAGCAGAGGGATCTCATCCCAGAGTGGGTGATGGCACAGACTCCTGCCTGCCCTGTGCTCTCCCGGTGTTGGAGGACACCTGGAATGACGTGTTCTCTCTCTGTCCCACAGTGGGATTCGATCAATGAAATGGATGAGTTTTTTAGCCCCATCCACACCTACCAGGTCTGCAATGTCATGACCCCCAACCAGAACAACTGGCTACGGACCAACTGGGTTCAACGGGACGGAGCGCGGCGGGTCTATGCAGAGATTAAATTCACACTGCGGGACTGTAACAGCATGCCGGGTGTGCTGGGCACCTGCAAGGAGACCTTCAACCTCTACTACCTGGAGTCCGACCGGGACTTGGGTACCAGCACCCGCGAGAGTCAGTTCATGAAGATCGACACCATCGCAGCCGATGAGAGCTTCACCAACGTGGACCTGGGGGTGAGGCGCCTGAAGTTGAACACGGAGGTGCGGGGCGTGGGGCCATTGAGCAAGAGGGGTTTCTACTTGGCATTCCAGGACATAGGCGCTTGCATCGCCATCGTTTCAGTGCGGGTGTACTACAAGAAGTGCCCGGCAACAGTGAGGAACTTGGCGTCCTTCTCCGAGGCTGTGACTGGGGCGGACTCGTCCTCCTTGGTGGAAGTGCGGGGAGAGTGTGTGGGCCATTCGGAGGAGAGGGACACCCCCAAAATGTACTGCAGCGCCGAGGGAGAATGGTTGGTGCCCATTGGGAAGTGCGTCTGCAGCGCTGGCTATGAGGAGCAGAGGGATTCCTGCATGGGTGAGTCTCTGCTTCTTGCTAGCAATGCCTGCGAGGGGAGGGATGGCTGCAAGGGGCTTTCAACTCCTTGGGGATGGGTTGAGGGCAGAAACCCACTCACACAAACTTGGACAGCCATCCTCTGTGGAGACGAAGGGCTGCCCAAGCCTTTGCTGACCATCTTCATGCTTCCCAAATGTGTTGCGGGTACCACCAGGAAGCTCCTTGGGAGCTCCTGTGAGCCTGACCATAACACATCCTGGTGCACAGGGCTTCAGGATGGGGACTGGTTTTGCAGTGGGAGCTGGCATCGGGACAGGGACTGCCCTGGCTCCATCTTTTCCTACCACAGAGCACAGTGGTCCAGAGCTCCCATCCCGGTGCCCTCAGCACACCAGCAAAGCATCACTTGACTTCTCCAAACTGCCCCACCACTCGCTTCCCTTTGGCAGAGGGTTTGAACGAGAGGAAAGCAAACAGAAAACCATGGAGCTTTCATGAGACAAGGTTATTGCCTCCATCCATCACGGCTCCCCGGGGCCGCTCAGAGCTCTTCAGCCTGGGGGTGCCAGGAGCCTTCCTGGGGACCCCCTGTGCCGCTGGGCAGACTTCAAGCTGCCGACTGTGCAAACTGTGATAAGGAAGCGGGGTGACCAGCGGCAGCCATGCATCAGGCACAGGGATGTGTGTGTACAGAGCACGGGCTCCCTGGGAGAGCCCTCTGCACGGATCTGTTTGCTCTCGGTTTCTTTATGGGATGCCTTTAGGGGAGCAGCACAAATAAGAGTGCGGGGCCTTTGTTTGCCTTTCATGGAAACGCCAAGTGGAACATTTGTCTTAGGGAGACTTGATGCAAGGTCGGGATGTCCGATGCTGGATGGGAATGGATCCAGGGGCTGCTGGGACCCACACCAGCCCCAGAGGGTCCCCAGCTATGAGAGAGGAAAGGACAGGCAGAATAAATGCTTCTATACGAAACTCCTGCCTGCAACCGTTGGTTTGGGAGTCATCCTGCGATAGCTCTGATAATTTATAAAGGATTCTTTCCTGTGAGGGTGCTGAGGCACTGGAATGGGTTGCCCAAGGAAGCTGTGGATGCTCCATCCCTGGCGGTGTTCAAGGCCAGGTTGGACAGAGCCTTGGGTGAGATGGTTTAGTGTGAGGTGTCCCTGCCTGTGGCAGGGGGGTTGGAACTGGATGAGCTTAAGGTCCTTTCCAACCCAAACCATTCTATGATTCTATGATTCTATCTTGTCCCATGGTCAAGAGTGTGCATGAAAGGGGCACTGGTGTGGGACCCAGCCTGACTGCAAGGAGCTGTGAGTTCATAGAATCATAGAATGGTTGCAGCTGGAAGGCACCTTAAAGGTCATCTTTAAAGGCAGGGACAGGGGCACCTTCCACTAGAGCAGCTTGCTCCAAGCCCTGTCCACCCTTGCCCTGAACACTGCCAGGGATGGAGCAGCCACAGCTTCTCTGGGCACCCTGTGCCAGTGTCAGCTCATGCTGCTCAACTGGGAATGCTCTCTGGTGAAAATCTCCAGGGCTTGTGGCATCAGAAACAGGACAGAAATGGCACTGGACTTTCTCTGACCTCGGTGTTGTCTCACACTCCTGCTTTCCCTTTCCCGTTCATACAGCACAATGAGTTGGATAGCTCAACACCTCTTCCTTGGCATCTCCTTTGGAGCAGGAGTACATGTATTCACACACAAAAGCAAGCAGATGCAAATCTTCAATCTAAGCTTCTCGTGCTTGACTGGGGCAAAGTGCATTTTTCATGGTGAAAAGTGCCTTTCCAGGGTGATTTATAACCCCAGCGGATCTGCCGGGGTTGGAAATTAGCTGTTTTAATTGTCAGGTGGACAAAAAGCAGGATTCCAGTGGCTGGCAATTTTCATTCTCCATCACAGGGATGAGCCGATATAAATCACTCCTTGTGGCCCTAATAATTTTTCTATAAATATCAAGGAAATTCATTTTTTTGCTTGGGGGGGGGGTGTGTGTGTGTGTGAAATTAGAGAGAAGATGCTTTGCCTCCATGGCAGTGTTTAAAATGTGATTCCAAGTTAATTTCCTTCCGCCTTTCACAGCCAGACGCCTTATTTGGCAGAGCTAAAGATGTTTGAACTGTGGAGGTTTCTCCCCCTCCTCTTCAATGCTCATTTTTCTAAGGACCTGCCAGAGTGAAGGAAGAGAGCTCTGGAAACCAGATCATGGCCCGAGCTGTTCCCAGCCCTTCAGAGGAGAAGGAAGGCTGTGCCACAGAGCTGGGAAGGATGGGGTGAGGTGGGACATGGTGGAGGATGAGGAAGGACTTGGGGAACTTCTCTGCCTCTCGTCCCCTTTACTGTCAGCCAGCACCTTGGATGCTTAAGCAAAGGCTGGGCAGGAGGGCGGTTGCTGGGATCTCTGACTCCTTTCTTTTACTCCATCAGGATCCACACGTTTCACCTTATTGGGATGTCCTGGTGTATGCAGCAAGGATGTGAGGGGCAGTTTCCATGGGACTGGAGAGAGGACCACGCTAAGGCTGCCAGCTCGCCTGGCATCAGATGTGTCACAGCTCTGTATCACACAAGGCATTTGTCCCCCCTGTGTGTGCCTCATGCCTCTGCCTGATTGATCTACAGATGCACAGGACCCCCTTTTCGACTGCACCAGTGCTGCACATGAGTGGCCACAACTGCCATTGGGGTCCTGGAGTCTGCCAACCCCTACAATTCCCACTTCCAGTCCCATGGAATCTTCTGCCACAGCCACCCCAAGAATGAAACCCCTCAGGGTCTCTGTCCCAGGGCAGCTCAGCCCTGCTGCCCCACTCACTCTTCCCCACCTTAGTCAAGGGTCTGAAGGACTTTGGTTCCCTCACCCCCATCATACACAGCCAGCTCTTTCCTCCTTGAAACGCATCACTCCACAGCAAGACACATTAGTATCGCTTAACCACAGCAAATAGCAACTGCTCTGCCTAAATAGCAGAATAAGCGATAGCATAAGTAAAGGGGATCTGTCCTCGCATTTTATCAGATAAGAAGACAATCAGCATAATCCACCTTATTTGTATGCAGCTGCTGTACAGGACAAATAGAGACCCATCTCAATAAGGTCAGTGCAATTAAAGTAATGAGCGAGGGAAGCACTTTAACCCTGGTTCTGCTTCTGTGGGAATGAAAGCCACCTCCTCAAGGATCCATGAGGCTGAGACCCAGAACAAGTGTTCCACATCCTGGGGTTGGATGGAGAGGCGGAGGGAGGCTCTGGCAGGTGAGGACAGTATCCCTGCATCCACAACCCTCCTGCCTGCCCTGGCCAGACCCTCTCTGGGGAGGGCTACCCTTTAAGGCCATGATCCTTGCGTCAGGGTCAGCATTCTGGGGCAGACCTGCGTCATTCCATGGACAGACTCTTCCTTATTGTCAGAGTGGGGGGATGAGCCTTTGGCAGAAATGCCATTCTGACACGCAGATAGACTCCACAACTTGTTAAAGTTGTAAAGTAGGTATGCTTTAGTCAGCGCCGAGGCGCATGTGGGATCGCTCCTCCAAAGGCATGCGCACCTCAGCGTTGTTTTCCTCTACATTTATCCTCTAAAGTTATACATATGCATGAGGTTACACAACACGCCTATACATATTCATGTCCTATCCCAGCTTCGTATTATAATGAGCTAAAAGGTCCTTTGCGCTTGCGCAGTGCCTCCTCGTGGTCGTGGGTGAGGGTCTCAAGGTGAAGTAAACGAGTCTTCCTCGAGCCTGAACTTTTTACCCCTCCCTGGAGGCTTGGGCATTGTCCAAACCACAGAGCCAATTTCAGCAGGCCTGGGAGTCCAAAGGACGGGAACCACGTCATGGTCCCTACCTCCTAACAAGAGCCATGTCCTCATGTCTTGTTCTAGCATACACAGAGAGTACGATAAGCAGGAACGAGCAGTAACGTTGTCAGGCAAGTGCCTTAACCCTAACCCCCCTGTACATTGGTTAACCCTTTGCATCGATTCCCAAAGAGTGTCTCTGTGATATATCCATGGGTTTCAGGAGGCCGGGAGCAGGCATCTTAACCTGCTGGCTGCTTTCCCTCTGCTGTACTCTGGCGCTTCAGCTTGGCTGGAAAGCAGCGATGAGGGAGCAACAGGTAGGTGATTGCTGTTTCATCAGCCCATTTGCAGCTGAGGAGGGTGTTTATAGCCTGCCAGGGCTGAGTGAGCCCAGCTTCCAAATAGGGGAGCCCCGAATGAGGATTTGGCCCTGGGGTAGACTTCACCCAGCTCTGCTTGAGCGGAAGAAATGGTCGTGTCCTCTAAACAAGGAGAAGAGAGGGAGATTGTCACTACTGGGACCCTTCCCAAACTGAGGGAGAGGTGGGAATAGGAGATCTGCTGGCTCCTCATGGACAAACCCCTCTGCTGCTGGCCTCCTTGTGTCTTCTGTGGCACATGGCTGGTGGAAATGGATCTGGAGAGTCTGGTTAGCAATCTGGGAGGCAGATAATTTTTTCCAGTTGGTGGGATTCATGCTGATGAACCAATCAGCAAATTTAATGTACCTTAAACCTTCCTTGTGGGCAACTTTAATCGAGCAATTAAAGCACCACGGCATTGCTAATTAAGAGGAGAAAATACCCAGCTTGGTAATTATGTGTTTGTGAGTACAGTTTTGTCTCCATGGACCTTTATGAAGGAAGTCAGTGGGGGCTGACTTTCCAGCTGGTGGGGCAGGGAGGGAGCGGAGCTGTACGGTGTGAGAGGAGGGAAGGCTCCATCTATGTGCATCATGTCACTGATGTACTGTGCTGGCTGGACACAACACAGGGACAGGGCAAGCCCTAAACACCCCAGGGGACAAGATGACACAGGTGAAGGCATTGGCAGGTGAAGCCAGGTCTGACACATGGACTCCAGCTGTGCTGGGCAATGGCCTGCAGCCACAGCAGCAAACCTTTGCAGCTGCGTGAACAGATGTGGTCCAGATGCTGGTGTTGGAAGGGGAGGAACGGTGGAGGCATACGACCTGTTCCCCTTG